CATAAGTACACTAGAACTCCAGCATAATATACTGGAGTTCCAGTAAGTACACCGGTCCAGCATAATATATTGGTGTTTGGAGCACTGGTGCTCCAGTCTCCAGTATATTATACTGGAGCCAGCAAAGTATACCGGTGCAGCATAATATGCTGGAGTTCATACAGAGGTGCACCGAACTCCAGTATATTATGCTGGACCGATCTCTGTTGTAGCAAAATAGTGGTTATTTTTTATTGACTTAGTAAACGCTGACTATTTTTGAATGACCAGTCCAAAAACTGGCTATACCGTGCTATTTTGACTTAAAAATGGCCCAAATTAATGCTACTATTTATGTCGGCGCACTTTACATAAGATGTAAGTATTCATACGCTGAACCAAACGTTAGGTAAGATGGGGCAGCGAATAAATGAGTAACCGAATTTGGTTAGACAAAGAGTAGTATTATACCCGCAGTTTTATTTGATTTTAGGGAAAGGATGAACACTTATTTCTAATGGAAATGTTTCTGTTACCTACTATCCTACCCTCCACGCCTCTCTCATTCTTTAATTTTGTTATTTTGCTTTTATTTTTTATGGTTCTTTTAGTGTCTTGATATGCTCTACTAAATTTGTAAATTTTTTTAATCAAAATTGTTATTTTCTTACGTCTATGTCATTAACCAAACAAAATAAAAATCCATCCAAAACAAGATTAGAACCCATCTTTCACTTAAACTAATCAATACATTAATATACAATCCGCTAATTTAATTTTCTGGTCAATCGTCTCAATTACTGGAAGTACGGTAATTCTACTCAATGCCATGTGTTTTGATTTTTGTGATAATATTTTGGGAAAAGGGTCAAAAGTATCCCTATACTATTGTAAAATATTCACTTATACCCTCCGTTATACTATTGGTCCACAACAGCCCCTGACGTCAACTAGTGCATAAATACCCCTTTGCCGTTAGGTACCTCCACCATGGCAAAATTATCCCACGTGGCCTCACATATCGTTGAGGTGGATGCCACATGGCATGCCACCTCATTGCACCTATCCTATTTTATCCCCTCCCCTACTTCTTTCACCACCACCTCCCTCTTCACCTAACCTTCACCAATATCGCCTCTTCCTTCACCACACATGTATTCTTTTACCACCATCAACCACTTGTCTTGGCCGCCTTTCATAAAAATTGATATAAAATTTTGATTTCTTGGTTTCATTTTCGGATACCAGAGTGCCAAAGCTTGTTGGAGCAGCTTTAGCGGACAGTAGTTTATTTTGTCAAAAGATAAAGGAGGAAAAGAACAATGTGTCCAAATGCATAGACAAAATTTAAGTGCATTGTGCAAGTTGGTAAAAGAAGGAAAAAAACATGAAAAATCTATATAACCTATTACTATAAAATTAAATTGCAAAGATGAAAATGGTAATTAAATACAACTATCTCTATGATACAAAGCAGAGCTTTGTAGCTGGAAATGGGAATCTAAAACTGCTTCTAGCATAAAGTAAGCGAAGGAGGTGGCATAAGGTAGCAATGTAATGACTTTGTTTTCTCTTTTTCGAAAGTATACTAGCGGCAATGACTGCCTATAAAGAAAATCTTTACATACTAAAATCCTAATCATTGAACTAGAAACTAAATGTACCACTGTATAAAAACATTTTATTTTGCTCTGAACATTTTAGTAAATCATGAATTATGAGATTTTCCTTCTTGTTGTGGCAGCTGGAAAGCATCTTTCACTTCTTTGAGTTTATTTAGTTGCCAAATGGTCCTGGGTCTCACATTACCTGAAACCAAATTCGAATATGAAACCAAGAAATCAAAATTTTCGATAGATTTTTAGTGAAAGAATGGTGGCCAAGACTAATGGAATTTGATGGCGGTGGAAGAATAGGTGTACGATGAAGGAGGAGGTAATGTTGGTGGTGGTTGGATGAAGAGGGAGGTTGTGGTGGAAGAAGAAGTAGGGTAGGGGAGAAAATGGGATAGGTGTGATGAGGTGGCATCCACATCAACGATATGACAGTCCACATGAGATAATTTTGCCATGGTGAAAGGTTTTAACGGCAGAGGAGTATTTTTACACCAATTTTATGACGTCAAGGGTTGTTGTGGACCAATAGTATAACGAAGGATATAAGTGAACATTTTCGAATAGTAAAGGGATATTTTTGACCCTTTTCCGTAATATTTTTTACTAATCATCATCATATCATACTATATTATAAGTATGAAGTCCCAAGTTAAAGATTGAAAGACCAAAATACCCATTAAAATTGAATGCCCTTTTTAACCTTAAAAGTTAATTAAATTCCTACAAGAATTTGTGTGCATGTGAGTTTCAATATAAAAAAGAGAAATTTTCATAAATCACTATCTTTTAGCAGTAATTAGCCATCTATAGATACCATTTGCTATATTACGTACTATAGATACCTTTTCTGTGGTTATAAGATGTATTTGATGTATTTAAGCTATTGTATTCATGAATACAGTAGCAAAAATAGACGTGAATGAGGGAAGTCCAGCTAATCAGTTGTTGTATTCGAGTGTATTCGACTATATTCATGGAGTAAAACATGGGATTACAGCTGGACAGATTATTGTATTCGACTGTATTCACGGCGTGAAATAGGGGATTATACTGTTTTTAAAACGGAAAGTGAATCAACTAACATAATAGACTCCTAATATAACTCAATAAACTTAATTATAACACAAAAATTTTGTATTTTCAGTTATAAAAAAGATTCTCAACCGAAAAATACCCCAAAAATATAGCAATCTTCAGAGAAATTATATAATACATCTGAATACATAAATTATATTAATTAAAAAAAATATATGAATATATTCATGGCATATAGTGAGACAGTGAATACAATAAAATACATAGGAGAGACTTTATTAGAGTATTGGCTAATGAGAGTCTTTGCCCACGGGGCCGTGGTATTATTGAAAAGACGCCACGTTGAGATTTGCAAGAAGGGCGCGATTTTTTATATTAGCTTTAACTAAGCCAATTCCCCCTAATTCCTTAGGACTAGTAACCGTATCCCAACTTATTAAATGGAGACGTTTTTTTCCAACGTAGAACCCCAAAGAAAGTTCCTTTGAATACGATCAATGAGTTTAAGGGTTTGCTTAGGTAAATGAAAGTATTGCATCACATGGTTAGGGATGTTGGTAAGAGTTGATTGGATTAATGTTGCTCTGCCTGCAAGGTTAAGGCAATTTAGTTTCCAGTTAGCTAGCTTAGATCTCATATTATCTAGAACAAAAAGGAAGTCCTTATGCTTAGGAGTTTTATTGGTCATGGAGAAGCCCGGGTACTTGCCAAAATGTTTACTAATGGAGATATTAAGGGACTTGGCTATTTTATCCTGTAGGGGCTGAGGACAGTTAGCAGAAAAAGCAATTTTGGATTTTTGGTAGTTAATTTTTTGACCCGATAATTTGCAAAACATGGAGAGGGTATTCGATATTGCCTCACATGTTTTATTATTGGCTTTAGCCATTAAAGTAAGGTCATCTGCGAAAAAAACATGGGATAATTCAGGCCCTTTTGGATTAAGCTTAATGGGGTCCCATATTGCACAATCGACTTGGTGATTTATGTAGCGGGAGAGCATTTCGATACAGAGAACAAAAATGTAAGGTGAAAGAGGGTCTCCTTGACGAATTCCTCTAGTAGGCTTAAAGTAATTGGTGCGAGTACCATTAACTAATATGGCAAACTAGCGGTGATGCATTGCATTACAAGATTGGTTATTTTAGGAGGGAACTTGAAGTATTTTTGAGAGCGCAAAGCGCAAAAAAGCGACAAGGGCTCGCCTCGCTTCAAAAGCGAAGCGCACACTTTATTAAAGTGAAGCGCAATTCTTAAAAAACATAATGTAAAATTATAAATAATCAAAAACATCAATTTAAATACTTAAAATTAGGTACTAGGTACCACCAAGTCATCCACAAACCATAGGACAAGCAAAATCAAAGCTACTAAATTACTAAAAGTCAATCAATATCTTATTCTTCTACTCTTCTTCTTCTTCTTCAAGATTGTCAAAATCTTGAATTCCTCTAGTATCTTCATATTGCTCGTCATCTTCTTCTTCCCCCTCCTCTTCATGATCACTTTCATCTTCGTCAATTAGGGATAGGGATCGACTTGTAGTAGCCACACTTTTTCCCTTCCTAATAGAGCTTGAACTTGGAGTATATCTCCTTAAACCATAAGGATTCTCCCCAACTCCACTACCAACCGCAACATCACCCCAAGTGAAATCAGAGTCGCCTTCAAATACTTCTTTATCTTCACAATTTTCGGGGACTCCGGCCACTCATTAGCCTCATCAATATTGTCCAAAAGAATTGGATCAATTATATTGCGGTGGTTGTAGCTACGCCTCAATGCTCTATTGTATTTTATAAACACTAGATTATGGAGGCGCTTCAAGGTTAGTCGATTCCTTTTCTTTGTATGAATCTGCAAAAAAGATGTGTCAACTAATTAGTATTTAGTAGGAGTTTGGACAATTGAGATATAATCTATTTATCTCAAAACACGAAATAATTCTTTTTATTTCTCACGTGTTCAAAAACACTCCAGTTCCTTTCACATCCGGATGAGCTACAAGTTAAGCTTAGAACTTTGATGGCGAAAGTCTGTAACTCCGGAGTCTCTACACCATATTGGTCCCACCATTCAACTATAGAAGTCAAAAAAAATATTCAAGAGTTAATAAGTATAAAAAATACATTGAAGTTAGAGCTATAAAATATAGAAACACTTGGTCACCTGGCGACTTCGTCGTTCTTTGTTTAATAGCAAGTCGAAGCTTAAAAAGTCCTTCAGCTGCCTTGTAAGTAGCAAGCTGATCTACTATCTTTTCTTGCAAGTCTTCATCTGGGTTCAACTTGATAACAACCTGATGGAATCTTGTCCACACTTCTTTAGCCAATGAATTCTTCTCATGCTGCTCATAAAAGAGTGATGGGTTCAGAATAAGTCCAGCTGCATGCAAAGGTCTATGAAGTTGCTCATCCCATCTTGCATCAATGATCTGATAGACCTTTGCATATTTTTGCTCATCACTGAATGATGCTTGAATAGTCTCCTTGGGCCTATCCATAGCTTCATAGAGGTAGCCCATTGATGGTTTTGCCTCCCCATCCACCAAACGGAGTACTTTAACCAAAGGGCCACCAATTTTAAGAGCATGAAGGACATTATTCCAAAAAGAATAAGAAAGAATAATGCGTGCAACCTCTTTCCCCGCACTTTCCTTTGCAAATTTACTCCTGCTCCATGCCTCTGAAGTGACCATCTTTCTCAAATTGTCTTTTTGACAGTGGAGACTACGCAAAGTCAAGAAAGCAGTGGCGAACCTTGTCTTGCCCGGTTTCACCAAATTCTTTTGCATGGTGAATCTTCTCATCATATTCAATAACAAGGGCCGCTGACAAATATAAGAATGTAACCTAACGCCCTTGCCAAAAACTGTAGAGAAGGGTCTTTCCTTGAAAATGTCCCCGAACATCAAGTTGATACAATGAGCCGCACATGGAGTCCAATAGACATTCTTGTACGCTCCTTCAATCATGCCACCTGCTTTCACATTTTCACTTGCATTATCAGTGACCACTTGAACAACTTTGCTTGGACCAATCTTTTCGATAGTGTTCTGAAACAAGGTGAACATTTTGATGTGATCGGTGGATGAGTCACTAGCATCAATGGATTCAAGAAACAAACTTCCCCGGGGAGAATTCACCAACACATTAATAATCATTTTCCCCGTTCTTGCCGTCCACTTGTCCATCATAATGGAGCAGCCGTACTTGTTCCATACAACTTTATGCTCCTCAATAATTTTATTAGTCTCCTCCACTTCCTTATTTAGATAAGGACCTCTTATTTCATGGTAAGTGGGAGGCTTCATTCCAGGTCCGTATTGACCAACGGCCTCAATAAAGTCTCCAAAAGTGTCATAGTTGACACAATTGAAGGGGAGCCCAGCATCATAGACCCATCGTGCAAAAGCTCTAACTGCACGATCCCTCAAAATGTCTTTAGCAATTTTTTGTACATCTTTTCCACCGCCCTTTGCTCCCGGCTTCTTTGAGAAGTATCAATCCATAGGACCTTTAGTCGATGAGCCATGGCTTGACCCATCTCTTCCCCGTTTTGTTGGAAGTGACAATTCTTCAATATCATCATCATCATCATCATCATCAAGATTGGTCACCATTGGTTGATGAACCATTTGATTTTTTTGCTCCTTCTTCTTCTCAACAAAGTTCTTTATTTCTTCCCTCACCTCCGGTGGACATTTCGGACAACTTGTGACATTTCTATAGCCACCAATTAGATGGTATTTAAAGCGATAAATGCCACCCGTTGTAATCTTGTTGCAAAACTTGCATACAAAATTTGTATTCTTCTCATTAACTCTCTCACCATAGCACCAAGCCGGGTCTTTCTCTTTCGAACTTTGAGACATTTTAATATCCCTATTAAGATATAAGAAAAACATAATCAATAAACTGAAAATGCATATAATATATATAATAATTAATTATATAAACTGAAATATACATTTAAAAAATCACATAAACTGAAAATATAACATATATAATAATTAATTTTAATTATTGAAATATAATAATAATTTAATTTTATATACTAAAATATAATAATAAATAAAATACATATAATAAGTAAATATATATGCTGATATATAATAATTGAACGAAAAGGAAAAAGAGGAAAAATGGTTCCTTACTCTGTTCTATACAGTAGAAAGTAGAAACAGAGAAAGAAAGAAGAAGAAGAAAAATGAAGAAGAAGAAGAGCGACTGGTCGACTGGTCGTCTGGTCTGAAGTAGAAAGCAGAAGAAAGAAAAAAGAAAAAAACAAGAAGAACTGAAGAAGAAAGGAGAAGAAATTACCTGGGTATGGTCTTCGAGGTCGACTGGTCGAGCGACTGAAGAAGAAGAAGATGGAACCCTAGCTTTTTTTGTCGACTGAAGAAGAAGAAGAGCGACTGGTCGAGGCCTCTGTTTTTGGTCGAAGAAGGGGATTGGGATTTTTTTTTCAATTTAGGGTCTGTTTTGTCTGAGACCCAAAGTTTTTTTTTTTAAAAAAAGCCCCCTGTGCTTTTTTCACAAAAGCGATCGCTTTATCGCTTTCGGCGCTTCCACGCTTCGTCGCTTTTACCAGTGAAGCGTGCGCTTCTGCAGATTGCGTCACCTTAAGGAGCTAGAAGTGACACATTGTCGCGTCGAGTCGCTTCGCGCTTTAAGCGACGAAGCGCTCGCTTTTCAGAACACTGCTTGAAGTAAACAAGAGTCCTATAGATAAATGACCATTCTAGGTAATCAATAGCCTTTTCTAAGTCTAGTTTTATAATCATATTAGATCTAGATCCTTTGATAGTTTTGAATTTGTTGAGCACCTCCTGGATGATAATACTATTGTCGCATGCCCTTCTATTCTTAATAAAACTAGATTGAAAAGGACTAATAATCTTAGGTAAAAGGGGTTTAATTCTGTTGGCAATAATCTTGGTGACTACTTTGTAAATAGTATTACAAAGGCCAATTGGCCGAAAGTTTTTTAGAAGATTGGCATTATGTACTTTGGGAATTAGGCAAAGATGAGAGTAGTTAAGAGGATCCGGAATAATTTGAGACTGGAAGATGTTTTTTACATAAGCAACAATAGAATTACCAACAATTGGCCAAAATTTTTGATAGAAAAAAGGATGGATGCCATCCGGGCCAGGAGCTTTCATTGGTTTAAAGGAGAAAATAGCATTAGGGACTTCTTGGCTTGTGATAGGGGCATCTAGCAAGTTTAAGTCTAAATTGTCAAAGCATTTAGGAGAGTTTATGATATCAGCCCTACTAGAGGTGATGAGAAAAGTGGTGAAAGTAGTCTTAAAATAATCAAAAGTGTGTTTAGAAATTTCTAAAGGATCATCAATCCAGTTGCCATCTTCATTTTTAAAATGAGAAATTTTATTGCTTCTTCTACGAATTAGGGTAGAGATGTGGAAAAACTTAGTGTTTGCCTCACAATTGTTAAGCCAATTAACTCTCGACCTAAGTTTCCAAAAATCCTCTTCCATTCTAAGGACCTCGTTATAATCATTAATAAGCTGACTTTCGAGGTCTAGGAGAAAAGAACTTTTAGGATAGTTATGGGAATTTTGGATGCCATTTAATCTAGCTAGAAGAGTTTTTTTTTTTTTTAAAATGTTCCCAAAAACTTCTTTATTCCACTTAGAGGCTTATTGCTTAAAAAGAGGAAGGGCCTCTTCAAAAGACTTGTTGTTCCAGCAAGTTCTCACAAGGTTTGGGAACTGGGGATGGGAACACTACATAGTTTCCAACCGGAATGGCCTAGTTACTGGCGGGCTGAATTTAGGGTTTGTCGATGCCCCCTTTTTCTAAAGGCGAAATCGGGTTTACGATATTTGGGCGGATAAATCTATTCCTTTTGGGAATTTGGGTTTTTCAGATTTAGAAGAGTCGCCACCTAATGATTGAGTGCATTAGGACACCAAGGAATAAGAAAAAAGAAAAGAACCAGAGAACGGGTAAGGGCTTGAAATTATCCCAGGGGGAAGGTGTTAGGCACCCCCCAAGATCCACTAGTGTGGTTCCCGGCCATGCTACAATTTGTGACTTTAAAGCGAATAAACATATAAGACAACTTCACATAACGATTACAAGTAGGATTGTATAAAGGTCAGATAAGCATGCTGAAGTTAGGGAATAGATGGTTTCATGCTCGTTTAAAAGAATGTATAAATGCAGAAAAATGAAGGTCAAGTAACGAATGCAGATAATCAGACAAAGAAGTAAAATGGGCGGAAGTTTTAAAAAATGAAAACAGTGCTGGAAATTCCAAAGAGGTTTAAATTAAAGTGAAATACAAAGTTTAAAGAACTGGAAAACTGACGTAAGCACATATGGAGGGAGGGGGATCCTAGGTTTATAAATAACATGGATCATCCACGCAACACCCGATAACCGATTATACGCATGGTGTTATCGCGTGATCATCATCTCCATGTCTACCCTTTCCCACCCCGTTTAAGGTATTAAAGCCCAGAATGGTCTTGTTACTTATTGCATGCTATTACCCGTCCCGTTCCTATCAGTCTCGGAGGCATTGAGACTAATAATCCTAAAAGGGAAGGGAATTGGGGATTTTCAGAGTTTAAAAGGATAAAAAGTCTAAGGTGACAAGCAAAAACACATAAGCAGTTAGGGGAAGAACACATAGCAATTAAGGCTCAAATAGGACTCCTCACTTAAAAGAGCAGATTGTATAGCATGATTTCAAATACTGGTTGTGGTCTGGATTAAAAAATTACGTAATAGAGCGTACTGATTTTAGGGAAAAGGTTGCTAGTTATATAAACGAAAGATCTGCAGATTTTGACGACCTTATGACTGATTTTAGACTCGTAGATGAAATAGACGAAGCTGGTTCAGTTGATTATTCCTACAGACATGATTTCTAAGCGTAATTGGTTTTAAACAAATACATAAATGCAAGAGTCCTATAGGCATGGTATCTAAAGTGAAGTTGGTTATTTATTAAACCTATGATTGTTTGCCTAATGGCATGTATATGCAGAAGTGCAGAAACCTAAGATCATGATTTCTATATGCAGAACTTATAGACATAATTTCTAAGATGCAGAAATGCAGAATTTATAGGCATGAGTTTAAAATGTAGAATGCGGAAATTGTAAATAACCTATAGGCAGGTTTTCTACCCTTGGCATGCATTCATCCCCATCCCTTTCCACTAGCCATCCCCAACTGTTATTACAAATTATTACAGACCCAAATGAATCAAAAAAAAGAAAAGTAAAATTACATCAGAAACTCCAGCTACATCCAAACAGCCTAATTCAGACTTCAAAGTCCAACAATATGAGATAAACCAACTTCAAGGATCAGATTTCCAAAAGCCTTTCTCATGTTTGGGATGTGTCAAAGTTCCCAAGAGTCTCAAAGGGCTCCTGGCAGTGCTTACACCCCAAACACATTGCAGAATTAAGATCATAGTGCAGTGTGAAAATGCCAGCCCTCAGATGTCCAAGTTCAGAGGGAACTCAAGGTCCCAAAGCAAGGCTCACAAGAGAGGGGCAGAACTTAAGGGTCTAAGAATAAGTGTAAGTGCATAGGGGAATTAGGGAAAGCCTTGACAGGCTAGTGGTCATGCACTGCAAATGGGAATGCTGGCACACCCCTGCCCAGCCTGTTAGCCAAACTTAAGAGTTGAGATCCACTGTGGATCAGGTTATGACCTGGGCAGTAATTAGGATACTGCCAGGCCAAAACCTTAACTCAAACACATAGAAGGGAATAGGGGTAGGGGTACACAATAGAAAGAGCAAGGAAGGAACATAATTAGCACAAATCACTGAACATAAGCAGTAAAGTAAACAAGGATGCTGAAACTGTGAAGTAAACACATAGGGGTGAGGCAGAAAATTAAATGAAAAACATACCAGTTTCAAAGGAAAACAAGTAAGAAAACAGTAGTCTTTGAAAAGCCAAGTTGCAAGCACAGCAGTTCCAAAAGGTCTCAAGCAATGCAGAGTATTGAATTCAAATTAGTAAGGTAAATGTGTGAGTTGAAAGTAAGAAGTTCGAGGTATTGAACTTGAAGTATAGAGGCGAAGTATTTAGTTGGGAGTATAGATGAAAAGTTAGGTCTTGTTAAAGTGCAGAAGTGCACCCCCTTTTATTGTGCAAAGAGAACCAATAAGAAAGGTAAAGAAATCATTGGAATCAGTCTCCTTTTGGTTAAGGGATTCTGATTCCAACGGGTAGAAATTAGTTAAGGAAAGAAATTTTTATTAAAACCTTTCAAAGTAGCGCAAAAGGGGTAAATACATAGAAGTTATTTAAGAAAACAGTCAATGGTACACGGTTTGTGCCAAATATGGCAAGGGAATAAATTAAACAGCCATGAAACCAAAAATTGCAGGTTCAATTGAATGAACCAAGTCAAGAAAGGTAAAGGAGGTTCAATCGAAGGAAAATCAGTGGCAAATCATTAGCCTTATTAAAGAGATTTCAGAATCAATCACTTAGTTGATAAAAAAAAATCCTTTGAAAGAGAAATTTCTCATATATATAAGCACACAGATCACACGAAAAGAGTCGTTAGGTTATTTAGAAAAAGAGTTTAACACTGAAGGTCTCAGAGTCACAAGCAAAGAGATTCAAGCTTAATTACAGACTCACAGTGAGTCTGAAAGCCTAGGGTCCCAAAGCGGAACCCTAGTACCACTTGTCAAAGAAACCCCAAAACCTAGGGTTTCGAATAAAATCAGAGGTGAGAAAACAATGTCTTTGAAAGAGGCTTAGAAATCTCTTTCAAAGAGTTATGAGAGGCAAACATACACAAACAAACTCAGAAGAAAGAGATGATGCGAGTTTTTAAACAACAGTAGGGAAAAATATACAAACA